CTCTCAGCTGAGACTTTAATCAGGATCAAAAGCAGCAAGGTGTGGGCGGGCAGCCAACTGGGATCTCCTGTGATGTGGCAGATCTATTTTGTTATGGTCATTTTCTTTGGTTTTTAATGGCCCCATCATCTGTGTATTTCCACACTTTGTCTTGGTGCTGCATGATTACAGTCATCTCCACGGTATGCTCATTGCTTAATTTCCCTTTATGTACGGTTTCAAACCAAATGCATGAAAGCGGGGAAAATCAGGGCACAATGTAATTTCTTTGCTCACCTTCAGGATGCAGGCTGGTGCTTGGGCCAGCCAAAGGGCTGGGAGTGTAAACGGAAGGCAGGGGCTTTTAAAATGCACCGCATTCATTGAGTTACATTCAGATTGATATTCTGGTGAGAAAAATAAAAGTTAACTACTCAAAACGCCAGTGTCCTTAGGACGGGGTGATGTTAATTTGGAAGTTAAAAAGTTAAACACTAGTAGTACCCTGGGAAATGTTCTTTATTTCCATCTTTGTAATGATTAAATTGTAAATGTGATGAAAGAAGTACTAAACCTTATCAAAATCGGAGAGTTAAATAGCTTACAATTAGAAGAGCTTGAGATGTTGAGTCGTGCAGTACAGCAGCACTGTGCTAGTCCTCTCCCTACGGACTGCAGAGGGCAACTAAGAGCAGCACTGACCTCAGTGAAGCAGTTATGCTGACTAAATGCTGAACGATGGAAAGAAGGGCTGAAGTTAACATGGATTCCTTCTCCTGAGGAGGAAGTGCCTGCTATGAACAAGTCAGGGAATGTCAGCCATCCCTGCACGCTCGTGGCTCTCGGCTGTCAGCCCCAGTCTGGTGCCCTGGCTGCCGTGCAGCTGCTCCGCCCCCTGGCAATGCGCGTTGGCCAGCGGCTCGCACCGCCTTCTGCAGTTTCTCCTGTGCGTCAAAGACAGATGAGTGTTTTGGCAACATCCCAGGAGAAGCACTGAGCCACTCGGATGGGCGCAGAAGCTGCAGGATGTCTGCCGCAGCACCAAGAACCGTGCCCAGGGCTGCAGTGAGACAGCCTGGCTGCGCGGCCGTGGCGAGGCTGTGAGAGCTGCTGAGAGACACAGAGCCTGAATGGGCCGAGCACAAAGTTAAGGCGCTCAGAGGAGGGCCGTGCGGCTGAGCCTGCGAGCAGCAATCCTGTTGCCATGAAAAATACATTGGCTACAAAAGTTAATTTCTAGAGGGCTTTTATTTGGAAAGCGTACAAAGCCTCTTCCTTACCTGCTGCAGGGACTGTGGCACTGTCATGTGCAGTTCTCATAGCCAGCAGTTTTCTCGTCTGCTGGCTCATCCAGTTACTTCCTGATTAAAGCATCCCGACTGTTTCACTTTGTGAAAATACTGATGACAGCTTTGCAAAACATTACAGGAAAAGTTACAGGAAAAAAAAAAAAGTGCTTGAAATCATCCTTTTTGGCAGTTGTTCTTTTTTTTTTTTTCTTAATATCTTGGCCTTTAATGGAGGCTAAGGACATTTTACACTGTATACCTAAGTGTGCTTTTCTACCTCGCAGCGTTGATATTCTGCTCAGCTTACTCCATACTGATTTCCCATATCACTGCAATATAATACTGGCATTTGCTTGTGTTCCCATGTTGGCAACCTGTGTGTAGTTGTAATTTCGTGATGGCTTGTGATGTTATCCTCAGAGCACGTTCTCTGGGCAGAACAGTGTGCACCACTAGCAGGTGATGAGTTATTTGCAACCTCCCCAGCACCATCACTGCAGGACAGAATGAAATCTTCCTTACAAGAGAATGACTTTGTGCTTCAATTAGTTCAAATATTTATAGCAGTCAGTCTGCTGCGATGTTTATCTCTGTCATTATCATTAGCATGTAATGAATGTCATCTTAGGATCTTGCAGCAGCATCTTCTGGCCTTACAGTTCCTGTTATCACAGGAGAGCGTTTGGGTTTCTGAGTGAATTGGGCTGGGTTTATTGTGTGAATTTCACAACTCATCCAGACCCAACCATGTTTCTGCATTAGAATGCCCAGTGTGCGTTTAACAGAAATTGATGCTTCAGTGAGTGAATGAAAGGACTCAAGTCTTTTGCTTCGCTGAGTCAAATGACTCCAATGGAGTTTGCACAATTGGAGATTAGAGAGTTCAAGTAAGAAGTTATATTCCTGTGTGATGCTGTCTGCAATATGAGCTTTGCCAATTTCAGCTGATGGGCGTGGAAATGGTTTTTTTTTTCCTAAATTAAGTCTATGTCCTCGTCTCTGCTGTGATACATTTATGGATTTTTTTCATGAGTTCTTCACAAAAAAAAAGGCCTGCTCAGAAAAGCTTACCTGCAGCCATAAAGGACGCAAAAAGCTCGAGCCTTAGCATATTCTAAGTCCTGGGGGGAAGTTGTCATCAGGTTTGGAACACAACGACCTTAAAGGTCCCTGCCAACCCAAACCTATGTTTATGATTACTTGGATTTTTTATGGTATTTTAATTAACGGTAGAGTTGGCAATTATATCATAATTAGACTTGCTTGTGTAATCATCCGAGCTGTGCTACTTCCATAAAACCTAATCAGGTGTGTCTAAAACTGGAACACAGTAGAGTCTTTCAGATCACCTCACTGCAGGCACTGGCTGCTGACTGCTGCGGGGCACCCTAAATACTGGTACCTGTCATCTCAATACCAATTATTTCTGATGGTAAAAGTCTCCTTCATGTGGATTACATGAAAAATACAAGCAGCAGAGTATTTGGTGAGGTGATTTCCAGCTGGTTCCTTAAGGCATTTGTGAGTGCATTTCTCCTGACTGGGAGAGTGAAATGAATGATCCCCCTGTGCACCAAGTAATCATGCACAATGAGAAGAGATAGATCTCCTTTAGGACTAAATGCAAAAATCTGTGGCTCACATAGATGGCTCATAATCAAGTCACAGTTCATTCATCGTGTCCTAAATAAATCAGGCAATCAAGTAAATCCAGAATCAGCTGGTGCACCTCCAGAATGGGTAGAGATGCAGGAAACTGAGATCATCACATCCCATGAAATGCTGACTGTCGAGAATTTTCCCTCTGCCCAAAAATCATTCGTCATATGTGAGTGCTTAACATGGGAACAAAATACATAATCCTGCACTTCTATTTATACAGATCCTATTTAGAGCTGTCATTCATCCAGAGAGGTTGAAGAGGATTTATCTAATTCTAAATACTGCGTACGATTATTATCTCAAACAGTGAAACAGGAGAAAGGCCGTTCATCAACTGCCAAGAAGCCATTCAGCTTGGCTCTGCCCACCTTGCTGATGTTGTTAAACGTTCCCACCTCAGGAGCAAAGAAAGAACATTTTAAAAACATTTGGCTATGTTAACCTGTAGCAGCCTCTTCTCACACAGGACTGTAAGAGCTGGAAAGGAAATTCTGCTGTAGCCCAACTGCAACGTCTGTCCTGCTTGGCTGTTTACCAGTTATGCACTTTGACAATTAAATTTGTCAAGAACACAAAGCAAAACAACTCTCAGCTGTTCTTTACCAAACTTTCCCCTTGAAACAAGGAAACTTCTGAGAGTATTTGAATGAGACTGAAAATGCCCCACATCTGAAAACGTGCTTGAAGCAAAGCCTACCGACTCAACTAACCGCACAGAACAGAACATGGCACTGGAAATGTTAAAAGTCTCCATGTATTTTTTTTGCAGACTTGGCTGCCATGCATTTCTCTTTGCTACAGTGATTACCTGCTAAAGCTAACTGGTTTTAAGCCAGCGCACAAGATATGCTGGCAGCTAACAAATCTGACCGTCAGTCGGTTTGGTGCCGTAGCTCAGAAGCTCTTTTGCAAGGAGCGCTGACCGGCCATCGGGACACACGGACTGAGATGCAGTTCTCCTCAAGCAAAAGGCATGAAAACGCCCGAGCGATGAACAGGGGTCTAAGCAGCATAGTTTGGAAAGTCCGTGCTGGGAGAAGGTACGAAGGGCTGTGAAAGCTGTTTGCAGCTTGCCCGCCCTGCTGGTTCCGTGCGTGCTAAAATCCTCCACTTCGCGACCGCCATCTAGAGCCGGCCCGGCTGCACACCGTTACTTTCCTAACGCCGAAACGCTTTTGCTTCCCCATGAAGTTAGAACAGAAAAATCACTTCCTGCGCTTCGCAAGCAACGTGTAAACAGGATCCCAAGGAAGAAGTCCTTTCCCAAGACTTGTGTAGCTGCCACCCGCCCTTACGCACAGCCTCCATCCGAGCCGCGCTGCGCCTCTGCGCCGCTCCGCCGCTGGATGCCGCGCCCCCTGGTGGCCACTCGCTCTAACTGCAGAAAGCTGCGCCCGTCAGAGGAGCGGGCAGCGAGGCGAGTGACGGCGGCGGGCAGCTCCGAGCAGGCGTGGAAAACCAGGCACACGAAAATTGTTTTACTTTCCTCTGCTACCCTCCATTAAGGTCTGCTTTTAGGGATAACGGTCCGGAGCCGTGATCAACAAAATACATGATTTTTTCTTCTGTGTTTGATTTTGCAGTCTCTAAACCAGCTAATTTTTGTGGCACAGAGCAGAACATGTTTGCAGCACACAAAAAAAGCTCTTTGACACCCAGATTTATGGCTTCAGGGACTGCACACAACCAGTAGTGACGAGGTCTCATCACAACACATGCAGATTTTGCTCTCTGACTCAGGCAGAGGCTGCACCGACATGATTCAAGGAACCATCAGCAATACTTCTGTAACTGGATTTTTAAGCCACGGAATATTGCAACACAAGAAAACAGTGAGGGCTGTTTGTACTCTAATATTGCTGTGTATTCTCCCTCGGCACCGTGCGTGCATTGAGCCCACAGGGTGGAGCAGGAATTGCCTTCTGCTCCCCCTGCCCATCATCCCACACAAAGCTGAGCAGCCTTAAGGCCCCGTTGTCTTCCTACAAAATACTATCAGTGCTGACAGATTCAAGACGACGCCAAAACGTAGGATCTTCATCCACAACAACGTTTGCACCACTTATGGTGCAATTTATTAGAAAAGAATTCCTTAACGGATTTTTAAAAAAATATACATTTAAATACTGAAAACGAAAGTGTGAATGAATGTACCAAACAGTTACAGACTGGGTACGTCCACTTCCAGTTCAGTGCTCCATTCTAAGGTTATGTTCACACATTCACCGTGAGCGATGCTACTTTTGCACGGGCCATTGATACGGATGATGCTAATTCTACAAAGTGTAAAACAGGATTAAGGACTGTAACTCTGGGATTATAAACATCACAGAAAAGACTCGGAAAATCTTACCGACAAGGCGGTTATTCAGTACAGATCACGTCAAAAACCCCGTGTGGAGCAGGAAAAGCCGTTACGGAGTTCTGCCATTGAAGGCAGCTCCGTTCCGTTCCCGCAGTCTCTCCCCCGAGGCGCCGCACGGCGAGCTGCCAGCGGACGGATCGCCGTGCTGCGGTAACACCGCGACGAAGCGCCGGGCTCTTCTTTAAGAAGAGAAGTAAGTTACAATTAACTACGTGCGTTACGTAAAGTGACACGTGAGAAACCAGCTTGTGCCACCCGCGACGGGAACTCCTCGCACGGAGCCACACCACACCGAGCATCACGAGGCGTGCTCGCCGTTCGCTGCTGCGTTGGAGGCGATGTCTGGCTGTGCAGCTTTATCACTGATTGGTTCTTTCCTCCCTGAACGCGCTCCGTAATTACCGCAGCGCAGCCGCCCCGCCCGGCCTCCCCGAGCCCGGCGATGGCTCGCAGGACGCTCCGAGAGCCGCTCGCGGTGCCGGGCGGCCGCGCTCCCTCAGGTACGGGCCGTGCTGCCGCGTGCGCGTCCCGCCGCGCGCCTCAGGGCCGCCCCGCCGGGCTCCTGCAGGTCCGCGCCAGCGCGACGCACCGGGCCGCGTCGGTGGAAGCCTCTGCTGCCGTTCCGCTCCGTCGGGTGCCGCGTTTCGGCCCTCGGCGTTGTGACCGCCGCCTGCGGCTGGCGGCCCCGGGACGGACGGCGGCGGGCGCAGCGCGGAGCTGAGCCGCGTGCCCGGTTCGCCCCTCGGCCGGCGCCGCTCCCCGGGCCGGGCTCATCTCGCGCCCGCTGGTCCTGGGGCGCGCTGACACGTGCTGGGCGCTTCCGGAGCCGCTTTTCCAAACGCAATTCTCTAGGGTCGGGAGGTAATTTTTTTTCCGGTTTCTCCGGCTGGCCTCAGCGCTCAGCTGCCCTTCAGGTGACGGGAACGGCTGCTCGGCGCCCGTGCAGGCCGGGTCGGGCGCGCCGTCCCGGGCGCGGTGCCGTCGTGGCGTAGCGCAGCTCAGCGTTTCTGCGCCGTGCCGAGTTTTGGTGCCGTTGTTTTTTTCGCCTTACTCCTTTGAAAGTTGTGGTGCTCGTTAATTTGGAAGCCAGCGGGGACTTCTGGCGCCTCGCGCTCGGCTCTCGGCTGTTTAGTTGCACGGCTTACAGGCGCGCACTAAAAAATCTGAGCACCGCACGAAAACTTTTGACGTCTCTCAGCTGCTTTGAAAAAGCAGAAGGCGGTTTCCCCGTCGGGCGGGCAGAGCCCCGGTTCCCGCTTGCCCGCACGGCCAGACCGCGCAGCGCCCCGCTGGCTCTCGCGCCGTTGGTTTGTGTGCTGCCCGCCGCTCTGCGCGGCCCCAGGCGGGGGAGGGAAGGGAAAGGAAGGGCTCCCTGCTGGCCTTGGACGCTCCCCCAAAAAGCGAGCGCGTCCTCGTGCCGTCGCGTTGCAGCACGGTCAGCGTATCGCAAGAAGCTGCAGAACAGACCGTGCCGAGACCTTGAAATATCCTGGCTTTTCACTGTTGTTAAACACGGCTAACGAAGCCCTGCCCCGAGCTTCCGCTTAACAGAAACGGGGATGAGCTTCCCCAGGTGGGAGCTTGAGGGCATTTAGAATCCTGCTGCTCCTTACTAAAAGCTAATTGAACACGGTTTCCATTTCAGAGACGTCTCATTTTGCAGTGATTGCCCAAACAACGGGTCTGTGGTGGATCTGCAGCTGTAAGATCAGTAGGCTGCTTATTTACTGCTGACGCAGCAGCATAGTCAGGTGCATGTAAGCGGTGCTAGGAAGGACAGCCAAGCCCAGGTACTGCACAACTCCAGCACTGTAGGGCTGCGGCTGGCATGGCTGGAGAGTTGTTGTTTGTAAGCCTGAGTTTGTTGGCAGCTTTAAAACTTGAAGTGTCTTTGTGAACAGGAAGATGTTTCAGACGGTTTGTGTGTTCTGTGTTCAGAACTGAAGTTTCTGACAAGCCTCAGAGCTTAAATCGTTACTGTCAGATCATCTGTACTTTAATTAGTACTAATTGGTTTTGTGATTGGCAGGTATCTTAATGAAGCGTAATTAAACTTGTTAGGACACAAGTGTAAGGTGCATCTGGTTCTTATCTGCATTACTGGCTTTCTTCTGAAGTGCCTTGATCACATTGTGGAACCTTTCTTGCCGTTTCAAAACTCAAAACGTTTGGAGTTGTGGAATTTTTTGTTTCTTGTATTTAAAATGGAATCTTGTCCTTAGAATGGGTGATTGTTCCATAAGCTTACAGTGCTGGGATACACGTAAGTTGCAGTGACCAGAGCCTCGCTGACTTCCTGATTACAGCATGTGGAAGCTGTGACAGCATTTTGCTCTTTTTGCTGGATCTCTTTGGTTTACTTCATCCACAATTATATATAAAAGTAAAAATAGAGTGAAGTAAAAATAGAGTGAATTTGTGAAAGAAAATGTCTTCTTAACGTTTATTCGGGGTGTATTATTTTGTCTTCTCTGTCTAGCATGCAGTTCCATCTATAATGCTACATAAGTTGTATTTTCTTCTTGCAGTCAGAGCTGGAGGTGTGAGAGTGTCTAAAAAGCAAGAAGCCATACCTGCTGGGAGAAACACTGGGCCCAAGGGAAGGGACAAGACAAGGTACTGATGTGCAGGGCTCGGACCCCCGGCCCGTGGTTAGAGGTCGTAGGCAACGGGCTGAAGGTTAGAAAATAGACAACCGTTTGATTCCGTCGAGTTTGACACTTAAATTAACTTGTGCAATTCATAAATAAAAGGCAAGCTGGGGGCAATTTTGTGCTTAAAAAAAACAAACTTCCACATGTAAGGAAGATGCCTCACGAAACAATGAAAGGAAAAAAAAAAAAAAGTGGAATATCTGCTCTCTATGCCCTGGAACAGAAATGAAAACATCACTGCCTACCTGTAATTAGCGATTTTCAATTAGTTTCCAAAAAATAAAATGATTCTAGGCTGTCCTGTATTTCACAAGGATGCCTTGTGCAGGTCCGTGGGAGTTGGTGATAATGCACTGCAATTGGCTGTGCCTCATGAGTCAGGAGAAATGGGTTTTTGCTGTTTCAGTGACTCAGCTCATGCTTGCCTTTTTTCGTGGCGCATTCTGCCTTATTTTCTGTCACTGATCGCGAGTCGTCTGGGTCCAGTCTTGCTCCTGGCCCTTCCAAAGTCACGGTTACCTGCTGGCACACACAGACCTTTTTATCCCGTGTTTGTCACTGTGGCGAACGATTATCAATCGCTAGATTGAAACTTCAGCAGGGAATTTATCTTGCTGCAGCCACGAATCATTAACTTCACTAAATCAGTACCTCCTTTTTCAAGAGCTACAGTTCAGGTGTCCAGTTCCATCTGTAAGGACTTCATTTTAGGCCACGGAGGTATGAATGCAAATAATGGCATTATCAGAAGAATGTGCAGCCTTGTAGTGCTGAGCTAAGTTGTTTCATATCCACAGCTCGTTTTTTTGGAGCGTTGGTGATGTGGCTGTTCTGCAGTATTAAAATATTAAGAAGGAATGGGGTATTCTTGTACAAGAAGTTATTTCTTGAGTTCTTTTGGTGTCAAAAGAAAAATTGCTTCTCCTCCAACCACCCACAGCAGTGCATGAATGCTTCTTGTAGGCTTAGATTAACATAAGGAAAATGGCAGGTCAAGCTTTGCGGGTCTGAATTCCAGTTCTAGAGTTCTGTGAAATTATCCATGGTGCATTAAAAAAAAAACCCCTTCTTGAAATATTTAATGATATTTGTATATAGGTTTTTCTTTATATATAAATACAAAGGAAACAACATGGATTTTCCATTTCTCTATTCTGAGACAGCACTTCCCTCTTCGTACTCTTGTATTCTTTAATGTGATTAAGGGATTTGGCTGCAGAACCTGAATTTCTATTACAAAATATGTTGTGTTAAGAAGTCTGAAAAACAGTTGTCAGTGTTTTTGCAAGTTAGAGATGCTATCTACTATTTTTTTCTCTTTTGCAGTGTTGTCAGTATTTCAAAAATGCACCACGTGGATGTCATGCTGCGCAAAGTAAGTAGGCCTGGAAGAACAGGATGTGTATTTGTCAGGACCTCTCCACGAAGCTGAAGATAGAATGTCAGAAAGTGAATTTTCCTTAAATTGCTGTTGCCTGATGTTTGTAGGTTTGCCATCTGCTGCTGGACATTCCTGAGATGATCTGTTATGTCACAAGTGTGGGGCTTACTTGTAACTAGTTGTCTTCTCTGCTATCTATGATTCCACTCCTATTTAACGTTGAATAAGTAGACATGGAGTTGCTGTGTGCACCCCTTATAGAAAGGCACTGCGACATATCAAGATGTGTGGGTTTTTTAAGGTGGTACATTGCAAATTTATTGAAATGTGGGCAAAAAAATAACAGTGACATAGTAAGTTATTCTGGCTTTAACCCCAGCTCTGCCGAAAAGAAAACCCACAGTCCTCAGCATCGCCCAACTATAGAAATAGCTTTAGCTTCTCTAAAGGTTCAACTTGGCAAAGAGAAGAGAGTGCTTAGAAAGAAGTGAGTAATGTTGATGAGAAGTGCATTGCTGGTAAGCTAATGTAAAACTGCAGGTCGTTGAGGCAACAAGGGCAGCGTGTTCCACTGTAGATCTGTATGCAGTTATGTCACTCGAGGCCTGGTGGTCATTTTCTTGATTTCTCTCTTGGAAATACTGTTGAGGTTGTACTGTGTGTATATAGATTTGTGTCACAAATCTATTGATGGACACTTCATTCATTATAATGGCTCTGCCATTAGATGCTGTCTCGTAACTCTCACTCGGTTGATGCAGTCTTACCCTTACACACTGCAAAAGCTGTTTAACGAGCTGCTTTTTAATTTGCATGCTAATCAGAAAACCTGACAGCTCTCATCTGTTTTTCATACATATGTGATCTTTAGATTGTGAAACATACAAGGGCTTCCTCATCTGTAGAGCTTGGTTAAAAAAACCCAAACCATCGGTCGCATTTCAACATGAGCCTTTCATCAACAGATGGGATCAAAGCCTTGCTATGCAGATCTTGAAATTTGGCTTAGACCTATTTGCTAAGGTGAATGGTTACATCGTCCTGTTTTTCTTCTCCTTCCGATCTCCTCTGCTCTTAACCAGCACTTTCTTCTCCAGCTGGCTCCTAGACTCTCGTACATAAAGCTCAGGACTAAGTTTAGAAAGTAATAATTAAATACGACAGTGATGGTTGTTTGAATCGGAAAGTAAGAATTTGAAGCAGCCTGCTGTTAGCTGTGGGATACAGTTTTTGCTCTGCTTTCTGTATCTTAGCAAACGATCTTGCGGACAGCTGGGAAAAAAATGAAAAAAAATCAGTCACAAAGTCATGCTGATGTTCTGTTTTTAAACCAGGGATTATTAATTGTGCAGTCTCTGAGTTGTGATGTGTTGATCACTTGAACTTTTCAGATTTAGGTTTTACTATGTTCTTTAGCCTGCTTTCATGTGATCAAAATTAGGAAGCGGACAGTGGAAAAGCTGTATTTCATTACAACTTCTTTTCCCCACTTTTAATGTTACAGATAAGCCACAATATCCCTGCAGCAGCGTTACAAGTTGCTCACCAAAAGCCACTGCCTGCCTTGGAGAAGTTCATGCTGCCTAAAAGAATTTATATTATTCAACAGCCACGGAAATGTTAAGACATGCCTTTAAGAAAACAAAAAAAAAAACAAAAAGTTCACTTTGAAGCAAATTTCTATTCTAAATAGAGTGTAGCATACTGGTAAAAGGATCAAAAGCTTGGCTGCCTTGTTATCCCACTGCATTTCTGTTGGTGACAATAAAATACTTTCTAAAGAGAGTTACTGGGGTTGTACTGAAATGTCATGGCTCTGTCTGATCTGATTTTGCTGGTGTTTGGTAGTTGCTCAGTGCTGAGAAGTCCAGCAGCCTCACCTGCCCTGGGAGTTTTCACTGAAAACTGCCCACCCTCTTTTCAGTAATATTTCCTGTTTTGTTTTTTAATGTACTGATAGCAAAGCTGAATGTGATCCTGAGCAAGGTCACAGCTGGAAGATGTTCCTGATAGAGTTTACAACAACTGTAAATGATCTCAAATGCTTCTTAAAAGCCAAACTGCCTGACGTGTTGACCTTGATGTTTGTTTTGATCTTTTTGCAATTATTTTTTTTTAATGATTTAGGCTGAGGGGTTCCATACTGATTTTTGTTTCAAGTTCAATCTTAGGAAACTTCAGAAGGAAGTATCCTTGAACCTTGCCTGCTTATACTGTCAGCAGAGACAGTAAAATAGTCCGAGTCCTGCAGAGGATAACTGTAGTCTGCTGCTGGTTGGTTGGTTGGGCAGCTCAGCCTTTTACTGCTCTGAATTTAGCTCTGCTGGGATCTTTTCTTTAAGGTAGCAATTGCAGATAAATATGCCACTAAAATTACAGTAAAGCAGTCCAAATAGACTTCCTCAGTATATAAAATTATGTTTAGAATTACATTAGTGTTGTCACTGAGACCTTCTGATGGCGTGCTTTGCATGTGACTGCAGCAGAAATCGCTCCATCGCGGAGGGATCCCCGATGGGCTGCCCAGCATCAGCAGCACCACTTAACGGGGATGTCTGCTTCACCTTACTTGTCCATGAAAGGTAAATAACTTTATGTTGATTAGAGATTCAGTTGTGATTGCAGTAGGTGGTGATTAGAGTAGTTATGTGCACTAAGTAATGCAGCTGCATCCTCAGCAAGTAGGACAAATTCAGATATCGGGGCTCCTGTGTAGAAGGCTGTTTGTTCTCTCGTGGTCCTTCTGTGGCTGACTGGCTGTAAGATATTGCTGTTAGCCTGGACAGCAGCAGCAGTGCACTGTGTGGGTATTTAAGCTGCAGGTACAGGACTTGGAAAACAGGTAGTTCTGCCTTTCTGTCACACAGCTCGTTCTTCTGCCTCCCAGGCTGGTTGCATGTGGAAATGAACATAAAAGGTTTGAGTTAGAGAAGTCCAGTGTGTGGAATTATCTGTGCTGCCGTGGCCAAGAGCAGCACAGAGGGCTCCAGCATGTCGGCTGATACGTGTCAGTTCCCAACGGAATGAATGCCAGGATGTTCTTTATTCTAATCTTTATTTTTTCTGAAGAAAAAGTAGTGGCTGGTGAAAATACGTTGGGATTCTAAAGGCTGCTATGGAGGTTTTCCTCTCAAGTAATCACTTTCTGAAAACTTATTCTGGCCGAGGATTTCGTGACAAATGAGATCATTTTAGGAAAAACATTTTCTTCTCTTGGATTACACCTGTCAGCCCCCACCAGATCAAGGTTAACTGGGCACCTTGTTGTTCTGGGTTGTGTTTAACATAAGCCTGAGCAGAGAATCCATCCAAGCATCTTCTCTCACTGCCTTCCTGGGGTGGTGCATACCCTGGCACATGCAGGAATCTGATACACCCTGTTCAGAGGAGCTATTCAAATAGCTTGGGAACAGAGATGTGGGATCCCTGGTTCTGTCCTGCACCTTTAGGGTGATGGAAACATCACAGTCCTAGCTGTGTGCAGATCATGCAGCAGAATTCCAGTCTGGTATTGCAGTGCTTCATTGCTGCAGTTGTATAAACACCTGTGTTGTGATGCAACATTAACTGTCTCTGCTGTGATCATCAGTAAACAAAAGGCTCTGACTGCACTTCTATTTGTTCCATGTTGGATTTTTTCAGCCTGTTTTCCAATGAACATTATCTAAACAGTTTAAAATAATATATTCCAGATTAAGATGGTATGCTCAATGCTAAAGATAGCTGTAGGAAGTGAATTGATTGACATAGATCCAAATTTCCAGGTAGAAGAAGGTATTAACAAGAAACCGGAAGGCCTAACTTTGATAAGCTCAGATTATTAGCTGTACTAAATGCAGGGCAGGTGCAGGCTGCTCTTTTGCTCTAATACACTTCTTGCAGAGTAAGAAATCCTGACAACTGATGTTCCTCGCTCCTGTTCTGCCAGCAATGTCCCCCGTGCCTTTACTACAGGTAGCCTTTCGTGTTTGTTTTCTGGCTTTGCAGCAAACCTGAAAGTATATAGAGAATAAACTCTTCTGCTTACGTGCTTTATGATTAAGAACACCCCCTTTTCAGCTGAGTCGGTCTTTTACTTTACTGTAGTATTCTTACAAGTGCATTGTCAGGTACATTGGTTTTTTTTCTTAAATTATTTCCATTTATTAAGATGTTTTAGGAGAATTCTTAATAAGAAACAAACACCTTAAAAATACGTATTTCAAACTTTTAATAGATTCAACTTAGTTTTCCATCCTGCTACAATTAATCAGCTTTGCCTTCTGTTTAGGTACTTTTGTTTAGATCTAGTCTTGATACATTATTTTGCCATGATTACTTTAGCATCAACTACAGCTAAATCCAGAGTATAAGCAACAGATGAAGTTGGTTTGCTGGAAGTGATGAAAGCCTTGCAAGAAGCCTGTTTTCTTCAAAATTATTGCAAATGATGCAGGCACTTGACAAGAATGGCACGGTTTCAGGAAACACGTTCCTCTGTTGAGCTTCTTGATGAAAACAGTGTGGCTCATATGCTGTTATGTTTTGCCTGTAGACTTCAAAATGGCCTAGAGATGGGAGTGGCTGAAGCCAAGTGGCAATGGAAACCACAGAATTCTATAAATGCTGGTTGGTTTTAAGGTCTTCAGAACATTCTTAAATTTGATAGTGTTATGCATTCTGTTTGAAGGCTTAAATAAAGCGGGTTTCCCTGGATAGGGATGAATTTCTTGAGCAAAGATGAGTCTCTACCTCTTAGCACTTATTCTTCCTGCTTGTGAGATATTCCACAGAGCTACTTGGATTTGGAGGTATGAAACTTCTGGAGTGTTCTGGAGTGAATTATTGCACTATTCAGTGTACAGACTTAAATCTGAATTGATTGTACATATTTCTGATTTTTATGCAAAGTCATGCAGCGGATGAAATGACAAACAAAATGGGTCTAATCTGGAAACTTACAACACAAGGGAGCTGTAACAAAAGCCTATTTAAAACATGTCTTCCTTCCAAGAACAGACTTACTCAGTCTGTTCCTCTCCACACAGCACACACAGATTTGCCAGAATTCTTGCTCATTAACCTTTCCTTGCTGCACAAAACCCAGTTTTGATAACTAATGCACACATTTGCATTTATTGAATTCCCCTTTACCTTCAGTGGTAGAGGGAAGAGTATGTTTCTGGACTGTGGGAATTCCTTGGACTAATCAGTGTTGTCTGCAGTACTGTGTGCACAACTCCTAAAGTGGGTTCACAGTAAACAGTCTTTTGTTTTGGAACTGTCCCTGATGACTGTGGTTTCAACACAGTCATAACACCAAGCTGGCAGGAAGCATCGATGTGCCTGGGGGTAGGAGAGCCCTGCCGAGGGATGTGGACAGCTGGGCCGAGGCCACTGGGTGAAGTTCAGCACGTCCAAGGGCTGCGTCCTGTGCTTTGGCTGCAGCAACCCCAGGCAGCGCTGCAGGTGTGGGGCAGAGTGGCTGCAGGGCTGCCCGGGGTGTTGGTCAGTGCTGGGCTGAGCGTGAGCCAGCGGTGCGCCCAGGTCACCAAGAAGGCCAACGAGGTCCTGGCTGTATGAGAAACAGCGAGCAGGGAAGTACCGAGTCTGAGCGCTGTGTTCAGTTTTGGGGCCCATGCTGCAAGAAAGACACCGAGGCCCTGCAGTGTGTTTGGAGAAGGGCAATGAAGCTGGTGAGGGTTGGAGCACAGGCCTTATAGGGAGCGGCTGGGGGAGCTGGGATTGTTGAGTCTGGAGAAGCAGAGGCTCAGGTATGACCTTACTGCTCTCTGCAGTGACCTGCAGGGTGGCTGTGGTGAGGTGGTGGTCGGCTTCTCCAACAGGCACAGCAATAGGACTGCAGGGAACAGCTGCGAGCTGCGCTGGAGGTTGGGTGGGATGTTAGGAAGCAGTTCTCTGAGAGAGCGCTCAGGCACCGATGGGCTGCCAGGAGGCAGGGGAGTTTCCAACCCTAGAGGAGTTCAAGAAGCATTCAGATGTTGTACTAAGGGATGTGGCTTAGCAGGAGCTGCTGGTGATAGGGGTGGTTGGACAGGGTGATCTGGAGGTCTTCTCCAACCCTCAGCATTTGGTCGACTGCGCCATTGAACCGGGCTTGGACTTGGCAATTGTTTCCAGTCTTTTTCAGCTATTCCACGCTGTAAGGTGTTTTGGCTTCCCTTTTTATTAGTCACTGTTTCCCTTCTCTTTGACAAAACCATGGAGAGAATGATTCAACCTGATAATGAGCATCTTTACTCTTCTTGTCAAACTTGGCTGCAGACGCAGTGCTGCGCATTATTCCACTCTTTCTGGATTTTGATGGGAAGCTGCTGGGTAGTGTTATGCCAGACAAATTTCTGTTAATTCCTTTTGTAACAGATTACCAACTTTAAGTTCATTGAAGAGATGGATAAAATTGTGAAGTCTGAATATTTCCTACCTTCCAGCTTTCCTAGTTTGCTAACACACAAGATGCAGTGCAGGCTTTGCAATCGTATCCAAGAATTTCAGAAGCCTCAGTAGTTTGTATGAGCACACCAATCTGCCACAAGAGGTAGCAATGTCTGCATCTTAACTCAGGTTCAGCCAGCTAAGTCAGCTCCTGGAGACAGCTTATAGCATGGGAGAGCAGATATTTAGCCTGCAAAAAAATTGTTGAAATAGTTTCAAAGAAAAATAATAGATTAATTTCTGAAATCATCATTTGCTATTTCACAGAGGACTCCAGAAGCTGTAGAGATACGAAAGGTGTAACAGTTGCTAAATGGTTCCTTTTGCTCCCTACCTTCTCAGTGTTCATAGCTTAGTTGATTAGACCAAGACATAAAACAAGGAATGCAGGAAAGTACGTTTTTATTAGGCACATTCACGTAATCAGCATTTGCTGCTTTTATAGATGCTTTCATGCTGTATTTTTAAACTTCAGAACGAATCCATTCCACCATGAACTGGGCAGTGCCGGGAAACTGGATCCATCATTTCACATCCCTGTGTGGAAAGGAATGGTGTTTCTGAAGCTAACTTCATTTACTTCAGAAGTGACTTTTATGTAAAGGAATAATTGGAGTTCTTTCGAAGCTGTTACAAAGGATTTGTATTTATTCTGTGGCCATCATTCCAATTGTAAAACATACGATAAATATATACTGAAAGAGAACAGTCACTAAAATGAGTAATGACTTTAAACTTTAATTCAACCTACTTTCGCTGCTCATAACTTTTTGAAATTCCTTCTAGCTTAAATCTTCCTTATTTGGTATGGTGGTGGTTGTTGGTTTTTTTGTAATGAAGAGCCATAGCAAACTCTGAGCTGCCTTTAAGCTACCCGAGTCTGAAATATTTATTCTCTATATGTTACTGTCAAGAAACATCAAATGCAGTGGAAAGCAAGAATATGCATTTAAAAAAATGGCTGAAGTGTAGAATTTCAGGCTTGTTTTGTTCTATGGATCTCAGCCTTAAAACATATGAAGTTAAAAAGCTAAATTTAGACTCAGATGTTTTGTTGGAGATGTTTAAAGATGGGCAGGCATATAGTTTGGTCAGTGCATATGCACTCAAATTCTGTGCAGAAGTTTTTTGAGGTTTCTGAAGACAGTATTTGTTATGAATTTCTTTCCAGTTATGTTGAACTCTGGCCTCAAACTTCAGTAAGGCCAACTTTAGGTGATTGCTATCTTTAATATTAATGATTTCTAACTGAATTAAACTGGCAAACAGTAAACAGGAGGCATTTTTAACTGCTACAAACGTATTTGCCACGATGCATTTGTGACTTCTTTCAGGAACTTAACGCATGAGGGCTTTGCTGAGAATGCCTTTATCTGTGTGCTCACATTCCCACGCACCAAAACGGGGTGGAAGGATGGCAGCGGTGGAATGTTCCAAAGCTCTGGGACAGGAGGAAATGCTGCACGAATCTCAAGGGGAAAAACACGATTTTGTTATGTAGGAAATGACACCTAATGCTTCAAAAATCCCAAGGATGTAACAAAATCAATGGATTGAAAAGCTGGAAGCACTGGAAGCACATTCCAAGTCATTAATTCTCATTTTTATTGTCTGAATATTTTTGTGCACAAGGAGTGGGGAACTTCCCACTGATTCTCAGCAACTGCCCTAAGAGCTTAAGTTCAAAGAGGGCTGTAGGAAATTCTGAACAAACAGGAGTTCTCCTGTGTATTTTGGGTTTTGCCTTGTGGCTTCTTGCATTTCGAGCAGAAAGGTACTCAAAGTGCATTAATATTTTTACCCTAGGTTTTCTGCTGAATTGCATTGTAACCAACCGTACTTTTTAAATACTCATTGCTGTTAAGCTCCTTTAAAAGATTCCCCAACATTACTTAGTTCTATTGTTGCAAAAAGTAAAGCAGAATGTTATGAATATTATTTTTACAACTTGTGGCCCATAGCAATGTCTCACATACCAGTTGTTTGTAGGAGTTCAGAGGTGTGACCGTGACAGGTTTCCTGTGCAAGCAAGGCTATAATCCAAATTCTGCTTGTTCTGAAAGAACAAGAGCTTCTTTAGGGATTGTTAGACTCTTTATTTCTTGCCAGCAATACCAGGACCTGTAATGCACCATTCAGTCATCCTATTTTCTCATTTCTCCTGTAGCTGTCTCAGTCCATTTGATTGTGGATTACTTGCATATGTATGCATTGGAGATGTGTCCTAGGCTTTGTTCCTTGTGCTGCATGTATGCAGTTGGCTGTCTCTGAGCAGTGCCTCTGAATGTGTGCTCGTGGATCATACCTGCACGGATTGAATGACAGCACTTCTTACTGTCCCCTATCCAAAGTTTACTACCCATCTCTTGCTGCTTTTCCAATTCAGTGGAACAACAGAGAAGATGCAATCTCCTTTACTGCTTCCAGGCAATCTTGCAGAAGTTAAACAAGGGGTTAACACTTATCTGAAGATCTGCAGATGAAATAGAAAACCTGTTGGGTAAGTTAGCTGATGCACGCAGTGATCACAGAAGTTTGAAAGAGGTGTTGTTTATAACTTGATATTAATCTTCACTCTTTTTGCCTGTAAAGCCCTGTGACCAATTTCTAGCCTGGCTTCATGGGGAAAAGGGTCTACATATAATTCCTGTGTGCATACCTATGTGTTCCTCTTCCCAGAATAGCTTTAGAACCAGTTGGTTCATTTCAGGTCTAACTGGAGGATGTGAGCTTGAAATAGGAGGCCAAGATGAAATTACCTTCTACTCGTCTCCCACTGTGCAAAAGGCAGCATCACAAACAGAAGCAGGCTGAGACATCAGGTAGCTGTGTGCTGGGTGAATATCATGAACCTTGAATTGGTACTTAACTTTCTTAAATATTTGCAGATGCACAAAGCTACTGAATATAAATTGCTGTTGTTATTCTACTAGTTAGAGGACAAATTACTTTCTAAAATTCATTAAACCAATTTTCTACCAAATTATTATTTTGCATGAAACTCAAACTGACAGGGTAAAAGCAGTGATGTTGAAAGAGAGCTCTTAACATTTAAGATAAGAATGTTAAGATGGGCCCAAATTAACGTAAGCAGTAGCAAAGCTGAGCAGAAAAAGAAGCCTGATTTTTGTATTCTTCCTCATCCGTAACATTACAAGGGAGCACTGCTGCCATTATATTTCTCCTCTGTCTGAAGTTCCCATTCTCCAGAACAAGTCTCTAAAACTGCTAGAAGCTTGCATGATAATGTGGGGCTATGAGGACAACCTGTACTGCGCTTCCACAGTGAGGGTTTGGTAATGGGAGGCTGCAGGGGTGGCCTCTATAAGGAGTCCAGAAGCTGCTGCATGCTGAATCAGAGCCGGCTCCTAAAGGGGCTGCTGCTGGCCAGGGCTGAGCCTGCGGATGGTGCTGCTTCCCCGCTGCGAGAGCACGGTGAAGGAAGGGGAAGAACTGCTGGGAGGCCTGAAGGATGGGACCTGTGATATGGAGCTGTGCTGGAGCAGCTCTTGAAGGACAGCGTGCAGTACAGAGCCGGGCTGAAGCGGTGCCTGGAGAGCTGCAGCCTGTGGGGAACCCACTTGGAATTGGCTCAGGAAGGACAACGTCCATGAGAGGGACCGCATGTGGAGCAGGAGCAGAGACCACAGAGAAGTGATAGGATTGGATTGCTGTGAGCTGACTGCACCCCTATTCCTCTGTGCTGTTTATGGAGAGGAGGTAAAAGAGGGTGAATGGAAGGAAGGTGCTTTTAGTTCTCACTGCTCTGGTCTGCTGTCTTTCTACAGCTAATAAATGACTTTCATCTCTCTGTGCTGCCTCTTTTGCCCATGCTGGTGCTTGGTGAGGGATCTCCCTGTCCTTATCTCAGCCCCTGAAGTTTTCCTCCCTGTGTTTCCTCCCTTGTTCTGTTGAGGAGGAGTGAGAGCGGTGAGGCTCAGTGAGATCCTATCAGTGCGAAACCAGTGCAGGGCCACAGCTTCTGTGGAAAAGAACAGAGAGGCTGAAGAATTTCAGTGGCTGAGACTAGACAGATTATCTGGAAATTATCTGAAGTGTGTGGAAGGCACAAAGGGCAGAACAGCAGAAGCAGAAAACCGGATGTGTGCTGAATTCTTCCCAAGAAAAAGCTACTGATGGGAGCAGAAGCCCATGTAGCTGTGATCAAAAGTATTGTTTTGCTAGGGCAAATAGGGAAATGTTGAAATCAGCTAAAATTGTCCCAGTTCTGAGCTGTCCTGTGAAAGAGGAGGACTTAAATCCAACTGACAGGACTATTTCAAAAATTCTAGTTGTGTATATGGAGAAAGAGAGAGCAAGCTCTGGACCTGACTCAGAATTTGTCTCACGACAGCAGTGTCATGGCTCTGTTTTTCTATCTCAGATTTCAAAGGCAAAATTATAAAAGGCTGCCAGAGCTGAGACATTTCCTCTGAGAGAATTGCTCTCTTTCCAGACATGGCCTCGCTGCAGAATAGAGGGAAGAGTTCTCTGCAGGAAGAGGTAGAGCTGCCTTTGTTCTGGGACAGGTCTCCAGTTCCTGAGCTTCTGGAGTCAAAATGAAGGAAGTGGCAGACAGCGAACCACTGCTGGTGTGCCCCGAGAGTCTTCATCTCCATGCTCTGCCTCTGTGATATCATACAAGGCAGTTGTGCCAGATGTTCTTGTGAGGATGCCCTTGTTCTGTGTCGGGCTGCCCCTTGTTTCTGAGCACAGACATGGGTCCTCTCTTCTGCTGCGCACAGATATTCTGAAAGATGCTGCGTGAAATGCATGCATAGATAGAAAATGTTCTAGAATAGTCTGGCGCTGTAGTAATTATTTGGCAGTTGAACTCAGATTTAGTTTTTCATGATGAATTAAACATGAACATAAATCATAGTTTGCTCAGCATAGTTTGCTCAGTAAATGTTTTGTACTGTCCCTACATTTTCCTTCTTTGGTGTGAGGAAGATTAATCTTTTTGGTAATTATATGAAACTATGTTGTTGAATGGTATGTAGAGAAGCTGAGCTGTTTGGCCGGGATGCAGGGAATGGCTGAAGCATCGGGTGCTTGGGATGTAAAAGGCAAACAGTTTGAGTTTGGGAAGGAAAAGCACATCATATTCTACTAACGTTATTGAGGTTGTGCTCATCATGGTGGCACGCAGACTGCCACTGCTAAAACTCTGTCTGCACCTATAAAAAACATCACTTTAAAGCCATTAATGTGAGATGGTTTCAATGTACTGGTGACTTACTGGAGATAATGCTCTGTAGTGGTTACCTTGATACAGCCCATCGGGGTTACCACAGCTGCACCAGAGGAAAAATATCTGTACCTCATTTCCAGTAGGATTTGGCACCAGCAGTGCAGTTACAACTCACCACTTGTGGTATAACATTCCTCCCCACTCTTGGAATTAAGAGATCTTAATTTCAGCATTAAAAGCCGGCTAGCTTGACTACTGAGCTACTCCAATTCACAGACTCTGAGTTACGCTGAGATCTCATCACCAGGTACATTCTATCTATTTGGTGTTCAGTTCAAGATGTCCTACTTTAAAAGCATGAGGTGAATGCTGAGATTTTGAAGTAGAATTCTCCAGTTGTGAAATAAGAGATTACTAAGTAACAATTAAAGCATTACTTGAGGAACACAGCTGAATTATTTATACAGGCTAAAGCTCCGAGGGCCCTTGATGGTGGGTTAGAAGCGGACACCCAAGTTGCCTTCAGCCATCCGTATGTCCTTTGGGCTGGGAGCCTCGCTCCTGTGACACGTTCCTCATCAAGCGCAGCTTGGTTTATCCCTGCAGTTGTCAAAACCACTGCATTGAGGTGAATGGTTCTCAGCCCCCTTTCACCTTAATGTGCTGATCTGAAGAAGAGGCAGTTCAGGAGCTGATACATATGTATGGTGTCCCTGCCCTGAGGACAGCAGGAGGGTAAGGAGCACACAAGGGACAGCACTGTTTTAATTCCCTGTGCACATCTGCTGAAGAGTTTGTCAACATGCAGCGGGAGTAAGAGACACAAAACACAACCGTGTTTTAAATGAATACGATCCTGAAGTTATATCACTGTCTATTATCTGCTTAAAAATACAGCACGAGTTTTTCATTGCTTGACAGAGAAAACATACATATCTTCATGTTTTTAAACAAAGGACTCAGTATTCATTTTAACCAGTATTGCTGTATTCATTAGTTGATGATCTCTGTGTGAAAATAAGGCTTAAAAAAACAGAGATATTTTCTAGCGGTCACAGAAGATGAATAAGTTACGAAGCATGTAAATGGCACTGATATCAACAGCTCAGTGGGAAGGGGCTCCCAGCGCCCACCCAGCCGTGCCACCCACCTCCTCAGCGGCAGCAGGAGGTGCAGCAGTTACGGAGGGCAGCGCTGACCAGCACGGGGCACCAGGCCCAGCTCTTGGCCGCCTCGCTTCAGTCTGGCCTTTCCCTGGCACAGCAACGTGCTGTTCCCCCGCATCCTAACGTGATGAACCACTGTGTGTGTGTGATGAAAAGAGCCCTGGGAGAGCGGGGCGCCTCACCGCACCATCTGATGGAAGTCTGCAAGAAACAGAAAGCAAGTTCTCAGACTGCAGAGTCAAATCTCAGAAGCCAGAAAATGCCTGGGTTAAGGTCCATCCCGTACAGTTACAAATGCCTAGTCCTCCCATTACAATTACACGTCACAACCGAATTCCCAGTCATCTTTTTGAGGAACGGAACGAGGCTCCGACTGCATCGTCCCGTGCTTTCGGATCACTCTGCGGTTGCCTTTGCTGCGATTTTCCCGTCCTTCGGCACTGGGACGCAGATTGCAGCAGGCCTCCCTGCCCCAGCGCCGCTTTTGCCACAGCCGCGCTCAGACGCTCCGCGCCCTCCGCCCGCCGCCGATCCCCGGGGCGGAGCGCTGCTACGGCCCGGCAGCCGCTGGCCCGGCGGCACGGCGCTGCTGTGCGGCGCAGCCCTCGCTCTGCGCTCCGGAGCGTTGCTGTGAAAGCGCCCCTCGAAGCGCCGCGTAACGGCGGTCCGTGCGGCTCCGACGCTTTTTGTCGCTACCGCTTCTACTCCCCCAACTCTGTTCTTTGCGGCTCTCGTCAGCCGTGACGCGTTCCTTTTCAGACCTCCCGTACGAACGCTGTGCTGCGTCAGGTGCGACCGCGGTTCTCACCCCTCGGGCCGGGCCGTGCGTTCGGAGCATTAGTGCCCGGGCCCGAGCGGCATGAGTGCTTTCAACGCTCCTCACCTAGCCGAGCTCGGTGACATTCGGGCAAGCTGTAGCAAAACACCAGAAAGACATTACGGAATAAAACGTGTTCGAACGACTGAGCATGGGCGCCGCGCGCCCGAATTACGCTTAGGAAACCGAAGGGGCTCCGGGGCCGCTCAGGAGCTTCCGTGCCCGAGCTCCCCCGAAGGTCGCAACGCTCCGGGCTGCACTGCACCCCGCCCCGCCCCGCCCCGCCCCGCCCCGCCCCTCCGCCTGCCGGCAGCGCGCTGCGAGGCCGCCCGCCGGGGCCGCGCCGAGGCGGAACGCGGCCCGCCCCGCCCTGCGGAGCCGCTCCCGTGGAGGGCGGCCGTGGGGTGCGGGGCGGGGACTGCCGCCTGGCGCTGAGCTCATCCCGCCGCCTGCCCGCCTGGCGCCGGCCCGGGCCGCGGAGCCCTCGGGCGAGCAGAGCCGGGCCCGGCGGCGGAGGTGAGCGCGGCGCTCCTCCTCCTCTCCTCCTTCTCCTCCTCCCCGGTGAGGGTCCGCGCGGGGCCGGGCGCGGCGCGAGCGAAAGTTCGGGGCCGGGCGGGGATCCTGAGCCGGGCGGGCGCCGCGAGGCGAGGCCGGGCCTGGGCGCCGCTCGGCTTCCGCCTGCCCCGCACGCCTGCGGGCGGTTCCGTCCCTTCGCGGAGGGCGGCTGGGAGGGAAAGTCCCGCGCTCCGAAAACTTGGGTCTTTCGCCGCTACTTTTCTAACAGCGAAGCGGGAACGAGGCGGCGCCGGGCCGATCCTCGAGCTGCCGCTGACGGCCGAAGTTGCGCGGCGGGCCGGAGCGCGGTGTGAGGGCAGTGCCTGCAGGGCCGGGATCGGCCCTAACGTCGGCAGTACGGATAATGCCGCTCGTGCTTCCAGGCGCGCTCTCCGAAGCTTTCTGAATTCTCGGTGGCGTTATTTAAGGACCGCTCTACCCGAGTAACGCGTACCGGTCGGACGGAGGACGGTGCGGGTCCCCAGCGATCGCTCTCAGCGATGGCTGTAGCCGAGCTCCCCGCTTGTCCCGCACACCCGCTGTGCTGCTGCCCGGCCCCCCGGCGCTGAGGCGGGGCGGCGCTCGGAGCGGTTCGGAGCTGTGCCGCGGGGACGCGGCGGGCGATGCTGTCCGTGGAGCCGGGCGTGCTGCGGGCTTGTGCGGCCGCTGGATGCCGGCGAGAGGCGGCGATGTCCGTACGGGCTGTCGGACTGCCCGGGCCGCCCCAGGGTGCTGCAGGACTGTTCGGCCCTCATTCATTGTTTGCAGAAATCCCGTGTGAGCTCACATTGTTGCTAGCTGCAGCTTGAAAAAAACATCCTGATGGTTATATAATTAAAAGGACCAGGAAATAAGGGAAATCAGTGCAATATCTTGCATCCTGCAGAATTTCCTCCCGTTGCAGTTTGATACGCAGCTGCCAAAAGCTTACCTCCCCTGTTTGTGCTGGTCTGGTGCTGAAGTGATGGGAATATAGTGCTGTGCCATTAAATAATGCTGGTAAACAGAGAAAGCATGGATACGGTTCCTGTGTGCCATTGCTGGCGTGGAGCGCATAGGGCTGCGTTGACATGGGCATGCTGAGATGCTGGCTGTCCTGCTGCCTCACTGCAGCTAACCACTGGAATGTCCGAGTGGCAGTAAATGATATCTGCTGTAGAGCCAAAACATATTTGGTTCTCAGCCAAAGTGCTCGGCTTCCCACAACAGTCCTTAGGAAAAAGGCATTTTGTGTGTCAGACCACAGGCCTGGAGTTGATGCCATAGCAACTTTGTGGTCTGAGCACACACTTCTGGAGACAGCTAAGCAATCTTCGCAGAATTACTGTTTTTCTTCAGCTGAACTTTGTATTGTCATCAGGATTAAATCTCTCTGTGAAGGTGAAGGATGGATCGGCAAGGTTTCAAACTCTGCTGTGTCTGAAGGCATCAGCCCGCTCTGCTGGCTGTTGTAATGACGCTGGTAGACGTGGCTGTAAGTTAGGACGTATAATTGTGGCTCTATGCATAAAGTTTTCCTGTACAGCTGCTGTTCTGACAAAGTTTGGTATTTCAGGTCTTGCCAGAAGCTGGATTGCCATGTCCTGCCGGAAACAGGGAAGGGTCGGCTCTGGGTTCCACATCTGGAAGCTTTGAGGGCTGCGTCAGCGCTGCCTGCGCTGTGTGGGGGCTGTGCAGTTTATTTATCACAAAGCTGTTGCAGTAAAAAAAGGAAAATGCATACAGCCCCACAAATGCACACAGCCTTGTGAATGTTTGTGTACAGGAGGCGGTGCTGTTAGAAAACTGCCTTGTGAATAATAAGAAAAGCACAGTAAAGCATGTGGAGGGGAAAACTGAGCTAGTTGCTCATTAGTGGAAAATATCTGGTGTGTTATCTGATACTAATGCACCAGCTTCCCGTGCTGTCTCTTATTCTTTTAAAATGCATTATTTAGTGTGATTGATCAAAACCTTTAAAATGCAGTATATTTAGCTGATAAGGATGTCAGCATGCTTACCAGAGGTTTGTCCATGTCTAAAACACACTGCAGGGGTCTCGCTGTGCTTGCTGCTCTGTATTTGGCCTCCCTGAGGCCACTGTGTGTGAATGTAATGGCGACAGTCGTGTGGATGGGAACTGCTGCCCACTGTGAGCCAGAGGGCAGATCTTCTGCCATCCAGTGCTGTGCTTCAGCAAAATGCTCTGCCTTTTTCTCCTTACCCTAGCGAATAGTCCTGTTGCTTTTTTCTGCTACTTTCCTCCTTCCAGCTTCATAAATGGACTAACCCTGTGGAGTGTGCCTTGTGGTTATTGTAGGCTTCTGTCCTGTCTAGCTACTACACAACTGTGCGAGCTTCTTTCTCTTTCATCCTTTCCAAATCTGCATCTGGAAGCACACACTGTGTAGATAATAGAAATGGAATGGCTCCAACTTTGTAATGTCCTATTTCTCTGATACCCTTGTAGGGGTTTTGTTTCTTCTCCTCCACTCGCTGACAAGAGGCCTACTGAGCCATAGGCTCCTTCCATAGAGCGCTTTGGAACCGGAACATTATGTTTTGCAGTACTTGGTCTTCCTGTGTGATGTGTGGAGGTGCTCCTGTGCCAAAGTGGTGTTTGTAAGAGTGGATGCAGAAGGCCAAGTGATGCCAAGTACCTTTTACAGCTTTTTCTCCGCTGCTAGGAGAGTAACTGACTGGCAGCAGTTGCTGGAATGTTTTATTTCTGTGGTAGTGGCATCTCCAAGTTTTATTTCCTTTGTTTTGTCTTCTCCATCTGGGTTAATATTCCCTAACTGGGATGTGGGTGATGTGCTCTGCGGTGCAGCCGGGTTCCTCACAGTGCCTGATGCATGGCAGGTCACTGCTGCAGAGCTCAGTGAGCAGTTTGCTTTGCTGCACAGACTACAGTGCCTTCAGCTCCGGATTCTAACAAGGCCTTAAGCACAGATCAGCTCAGCAGTGTCAGTATGCAACCGGTTTGCATTGATGTTAGCAGAAATTCAAATGTCTTTGAGGTCAAGTCAAGAGCTCCTACGTGCATCTTGGTGTTGAAGTCGGCAGCAGGGCTCAGCAAGTCATTGTGTACATCTGCTCTTCATTTAATTTCTCTTTTTTAATTTGATCTAGAGTTAGGATGAGACTTGAAAATTTTCAATTACATCTGGAGGGTATGAAATTGGAAAGCTAAGTGCAACTTCTGGTTCTGGTTATCGTAAATACCCTTAGAACAGAAGTACCAAGCTACAGATACATATTTTAAATCTTTCTGTGCAGTTTTTATCAGCCTCCTAAGCTTCATGGTGCTGTGTTAAAGTTAGGACTTGTGCATTATCAATATAGATGTGGATTGCCATGTTCTACATCTCTAAAACACAGTAGTAGTAGAAAATTATCTGCAGCCTACAGAGCTGTTGCAGTGTCACTTTGCCTGCAGTAGCTTGTCCTCTGATTAGCAGCTGAATTGCTCAAATTCAGCTTTTTTCTAAAAATTAGGCATCCTACTGCAGCATGGCAGGAATTAAGCTATCAAAGAACAGTGCCAGGTGAGCAGGAGCGCAGGGCTGGAGCAGGGACCTGCAGGTGGGCACCTGGAGCCCTGTGGTGCGTGGGGACACAGCTGAGGGCAGCAGCACTGGTGTAGAATCTCCTTCACTTCAGAGTGTTTCTTCCTGTTCCCTCCTACCTGTGTGTTCTCCCTGTCTTGCTCAGTAATATTCAAGAATTTGCATGTTTGTAACCAAATCGAAAGACTTCACTAGCAGTCTTTCAGGCTTGACCAGAGCTGCTGATGTGGTTATTCCTCCAGCGCAGGTAGCAAGGTGTTCTTGGCTGCATTGAGAAGCCTTGGCTTGTCGTTGAACTTCTGGCTACTGCTGTGAAGGCCATTTGTTTTTACACATATTCATACAATTGGCAAGTGTCACTAAACACAGCATGGTTGGGCTGGAAGGGACCCCTCAGCCCAGCCCTGCTGTGGGCTGGCTGCCCCCCCCAGCTCCGGCTGCCCCCCAGCTCCGGCTGCCCAGGGCCCATCCATGGCCTGGGGCACCTCCAGGGACAGGACGCCTCAGCTCTGGGCAGCATTACTGGGCCTCGCTGCCTGCCAGGTATAGAATTTCCTCCTCACGTCTGACCTAAATCTCCCCTCTTTCAGTTAAAGACACTCCCCTTGTCCTGTCACAATCTGCCCGTGTACAAGATTGATTTCTCTCCTGTTCATAAGCTCCCCTCAAGCACTGGAAGGGCACAGTGCTCATGTTATCTGTACGTAGCAGCATACAAGGTGCCAGAAATGTGCAGGGTGACAAGGTGAGCGTCTGCTCCTTGTTTGCTGCGTGTTTTAAGTATTTGGTAATTAATAGTTCTAAAAATGAATGTGCCTGTTGAATGGCCGCTGCACTGTGTCCAGGTTGTGTGTATTGCCTGATTTGCTGTGGTTGTGTTTTTTGGAGGAGGAGAACAGAGGGGTGCTAATTAACAACAACCGAAAAAAAAAAGGTAAATGAAGACTTGATCTTAGTCTTGGTTAAATTTAGATCCAGCAGGAGAAAAGCTGCAACTTGTTAGCAGCACAGGAAACGCCCTGACAGAAGTGTTTGATGTGTGTGTAAATGTGAGCAGCAGCTCCATGGCTGCCATTGGGCTGGAGGAGCTCTGTTTGCCTCACAGCACTTTGCTTCTTTAAATACAGTCCGAGCT